ATATTCTTTCTGGATTAAAAAAAAAAGAATGAGGGGCTTCAAAAATGTATAAACTTTTAGCAAAAAGCTTAAGATGTAAGAAAGTTTAAAATGGATAAAGGGGAATTCTGAAAAATTAATTTTTGATGAAAGTGCTTTTGAACAACTTGGAAATAAAACAAACAGCCTGACCTTCATGGGAATGTTATTTGTTTACTATTAAAGAGTGCAGACAATTGGTGGATCTTCCAAAAGAAAAGATAAAGGTAATATGAGCCAGACTATGATACTGACTGTAACTATTGAGTGCCATTTGAGACGAAAGTATTAAGGGCACAGGAAGACAAAACAGGAAGGGCGGGGGGAGGGAGAGAGAGAAGCCTGCCATTTACTCTTTCCCTTGTAATTAAGACATTTTCACTTTTGGGTTACAATATCATAATGTCAACTACCAGAAAAGTGGCAAAAGCAACAGAGGGGATTACTAGAGCACCCACAGAAAGAGGAATTACAGCAGACTTGCTTCAGAAAGTGTTTGAGGAATTAAGCAGTAAGTTGTCTGAATCATTTAATACTAAATTGATAACTTTTGAAAAAAGAATGGATAAACGACTGGTAAAGATGAAAGAAGAAGTTAAGAAGATGGAAAGCTCTGTAAAAAAAATGTCTGGAGATGTAAAACAAAGTAATGACAAAACTGAAATTCTGGAGAGTAAGACAGAAGTTATAAACAGAGCTGGAAAGAGACTTAGATAATCTGGCATTACTGAAATTGGGAGAGAAGGAATTTTTTCTGAGATTCAGAGCAATTCCAGAGGATTCTGGTGAAGTTACTAGAGAAAAGGTTATTAAAGGTTTATCAAATTTTTGGAATGGGATGAGGAGGATACAGAGGCAGAAATTGATAAAGTATCTAGAATAAATGCAAGATTTGCAAAAACAAGAAATGTTTGAAGGGATGTTCTGGTGCACTTTGTCAGGAAGACAAAGGAAGAAGACAAGGTATCATGTTTTGCAGCAGCATTTTAGTACTAGAGTGAGGACTGATAATACAGATGTAATTGTGCTTTAAGAAATTCCAACTAGAATATTGTGTAAGAGAAAAGAGTACTTCATTTTGACTGATAGGCTTAAACAGAAAAAGATTCCATTTTGATGGGACAAATTGGAAAGTATTATTTTTACTTTTAAACAGCAGAGTTTCTGACTGAATTCTGTCTGGAAGGTGAGAGAATTTCTAGAACAATTCAAAGAAGAGTTGGAGGAGGTTCAAATAGAGGCGTCAGATGAGACTACACAAAAGCCTCAACAGGTGCAACAGGAAACTGAAAGGGTGATACTGAATTAGGCATTACAGGTATTGACTTTTCTAAATTGTTGGCTTGATTATAGATTACAAATGCTTAACATGGAATATAAATGGAGCAAATGCTCCTCAAAAGAGAAAAAATACTTCATTATTTGAAAAAAAATTAAAACAAACATAATTTGCCTACAAGAGACAGATATTAGAAAAAGGGACATAAAATATTTGATTTATAAAAATGTAGGTGAAGAATTTATATCAGCAGGAATTTAAACAAGAAATGGAGTTGTTTTATATATAAACCCCCAACTAAAACCAGAACTTGTAGTGACTGATGAGCATAGTAGATTTGTTGGGGTGGAAGTTAATTTGAATGGGGCTAAGACTCTGATATTGGGAATTTATGCTCCAAATGAGGACAAAGTATTGTTCTATGAAGGACTTATGGAGAGACTAATTGGCTTTTCTTATAAAAATTGGTGTTTGATGAGGGATTGGAATGGAATGCTTTCCCCACAACTAGACAGAACTTCTGAGAAAAAATATTAAAATTACACAAGGCAAATTATCATTTTTTTTAATTTGATGGACAGTTTAGGACTTGTTGATATATGGAGACAGAAAAATGGCAACAAGAGAGTATACATATTTTTCTGAAAGACATAGATCCTTTTCAAGAATAGATATGATTTGGATTTCAAAGAATTTGGCTACCAAGGTTCATAAAGTGGAAATATTACCAGAGATTTTTTGGGTCATAATCCTGTGAGATTGGTTTATAAAAGGAAATCTAGTTCTTTTAGATGGAGACCAAATGAAATGTTGCTACAGAAAAAGCATTAGTGGAAGATTGTACAAAGAAACCACCAAGGATCACTAGTGAAAACAAGCTTCTAGCTCAGGGTTCCTCAACCTCAGCAACTTTAAGATGGGTGGACTTCAACTGTTGAAGTCCACCCATCTTAAATTTACTGAGGTTGAGGAACCCTGTTCTAGCTTCTTCTTTTCACCTTTGGTTTCCCTGACTGCCCCAGATGCTGTCTTGCCTCCACCAAATTCTGTTTATGCTCCCATCCTCTCAGAAGCCCTGCCCAAGGAGGAAAGACATC